CCCTTCTGTCTTCAAAGGGGTCAAAGACATGTACTTTCTATACATGCAGAATTGACAAGAGTTCACCTTTTTTTGTTTTTTTTTTTTTTGCTACAGACATTACCAAATATGCTTTCACATACACAGTAATCAGCTCCAATTACTTGCCAAGAAAAGTTGTTGGTTATCACTTTTCAGTGCAGGGCTTCTCTGGTAGTTGTTGGTTTCCTGTGTCTCCAGTTAGCTTTGACTTTGAGTCAAAGCTTTACTGTGCTGTTTCTCTCATACTGCGAGGGAAAACACCATGCACACAATGTCCAAAGATTTAATTGAGCACATTTCCAGCTTAATTGCTTTATTGAACCTTTCCATTAAGTGTGTTATGTCATGCCACTGTGTGTATTGCTATGAAGTGTGGGCAGTTAAGGCAAATGCCACAACAGCATGGAGCTATTTGTATGCTGGGTGTGTGGGACAGCGGTCAGGGAACGAGGTCATAGTGTATATATTTTCCAGGTATTTGGTTTTATAGCTAATTAATTTTATAACTGAAAGACGAGTCTGTGTTTAGAGCAAGTTGCAATTCATGAAAAAGTAGTTTTAGTAAAATACATTATTCCAAGTGGACAAAATTAACCTATTTGGACAGCATATTTAAACGAGCAAAAAAAGCCGGTTGAAGAGATTTTCTTGATTACTTTGACATACATGAGTAAGATGTTGATTCTAACTTAGACATTAATGAAGAAATAATTCAAACCATATTTGTTGTTATTAATTAAAAAAAATTAAAACATGTTTGAGGGCACAGCTTCCACAGAAACATAAGAGAATTGCATTCTCATTACATTATCAGTATTTCTGCAGAATAGCCAATTCCTGGCCATAGCTGAGCCAGAATGCCCTAAATTTAAATGTGCTTCTTTGCAGTATTTGACAAGAATGTTAGGATTGTAACTGGTTACAGAACACTCAACTTGGACAATTACTACATTCTATGTCTACTAGTGGACTTAATCGTGTAAACTTTTCTTGGAGATTTGGATAGGGCAAAAAAAAGAATTTTACTCTGTCTTGTGCTGTAATGAATCACATTCCATCATATTACTAACCACAGACATCATAGAAGTAATTAATTCTAGCTCCTGTTTAAGAGTATATATACACTGCACATGTAGATAATGCTTCATTTATTTCCTCTTACAGCACTCTAATTTTAACATCCTGACTCTCTAGGTCTGATAGAAATATTCTTACTGTTTCAGAGAAAGTCAAAGACAAGGAGACTAACCTTTTAGACATGTTAAAACTTTATTTGTTTTATAAAACCACTACAACTTTTAATTTCAAGAAAAACTGATATACTATACGCTGTTCTTCAAAATTGCTAAATTAAAACTGGAAACCTGAGAGTACATCCATTTCAGGTTCTTCTCTAGAATCTATAAGAATTATAGCTTCTAAAGCAATGACTCAAAATATGGATTAAATACCATTCCAACACCTTCCTCACCCCTAATAAAGGATTAGGTTCATTTTAGCCTTTAGCCTCAATAAGAAGGCGAAGTAGGATACAGAACTTTTAAGTTCTACTTACCATCTTTTTGACATATTTCCTATTTATGAGAAATTCACTGCCTGACTATAAGATATTTTTAGGTAACTTATTCTCCCCCCTCCAATGACTGAATGTCCTAAACACCAAAATAACCTATTGAGCATTTGTGAATTTTTGCTCAACTGCTGCTTAGATTTTGGCTAAGCTCCCTCATGCCATGACTTGATGGATACCAGGAACAGTGCCACTAGGTCAAAGCAGGAGCATCATGTTGGCAGGACAGGTGGCCAGAAAGAGTTATGGGGCCATTATGCAGCAATATTGTTGTCTCTTCTGGAAATCATGTTTTCCCTGACAGTGTCATCAGAATCCTCTAACTTGTGGAAATGGTAGATCCCAGTCCTTTAAAATGGAAGGTATAAAATGTCAGCTAGCTCAGAAAGCTTTTGAAGTGGATCTAATAGCAGACTACTGAGACTTTTGTGCTTCCTGGTGTAACCCAGAGGACCTCTGCGTTGTGACAAAGATGGAAGGATGAATATTCTCACCCTTAGCTAGGTAAATAATTACTTTTTTTTTCCCATGTAAGTGCATGATCTTAAGAGTTATGGGCTATAAATTATGAAATCCTATGACTTGAAATGGTGAATAAGTGAATTAATGTGATATACTGCTCTGAAAAAAGGAAATGGAGCCACTGTTTACCATGTTTAGTTGCTGTGTTTCTTAATGAGTTCATGAAATAAAGTTTAAATCACAGAGTAGACTGTGCCATAAATTGGAGAGATCCAAATGGAGTGTGACTTCACTTTCAAACAAAACATTAAGATCATAACCTGAAAGGAAGCTACTTCCCATAAGATATTTTCATATCTACTCTCTGTTCAATAAACAGTCCATGAATAAGAATAGTTACTCTGGTTTCAATTGAAATAGAATTCTGAATAAATTTAACATGATTTGAGATTTAAGTAATAATTAGCTTAATAGCACTGAAAAAATAGTAAAGAAATGCTTGGTCGTAATTGCATGACTTTCCAAACCATATATTGATTAAAAGAATTTAAAAATAGAAGTTCAGAGTGTTGCTTTTGCATAACAAGAAAATTAAAGCTAATGAGAAAGCCAATATAAAGCATCTTCCTATCATTCAAGGAAAAATGTTTGACTGAACAGTTTTCTCCTGGAAAAAAATTGCATGTACCTTGAACAGAGACATGTGAAATATAATTATTGCAAAAGTGATAGAAATTTTAAGTATGCTTTTCTTCCTGTGCATTCTTCCACTTTGAAGCTGGAAATGTAGAATACTAAAGATACTTGTATTTGTTGTACTTTTTTGAGGGAAAGGCTAAGTAGAGGATTAAGTAGGTGTTGATTTAAGGAGCCAAATGAGTATTCAAATGGTTCTCCATGCTCATATTTTCAAAAGTGGTATGCACTAGTAGATAGTCATGTATGAGATTCAGAAATACCAAACGAGGTTAGGAACTCAATTCACCTAATTTCAGTGGAAATCATATACATAATCTGTTGAAGGGCCTTTGAAAATACCATTATAGAAGCACATGCATTTTTTTATTATTAACTCATTTTAGATATCTTGCCCAAGGTAATTTGAAAGCACAAGTCTATTAAGTAATAGCAGATTAGTTTCCATGTTGTTTTAGTTTCCACTCTGTGCCTTCAGTTATATTCACTGCATTCTTGTGTTTACTCTTGGAAATAACTGCATCTTGTAATTTCAACAGTGTGTTTGCTAGAGGGAGAGATTTAGCAAGGTTGTCTCTGTCACGAAGACTAAAACTTCAAATTGCACATGCCAGAAAGAGAAGAATTTAAGGGCAAGAGAAAAACATTTGTAACTTTTCCTGCTCCTGAGGCTGTGTATACAAGGTGTAGTTGGTCGAGGCTTCTCAACTAGGCAACAAACTACAGCCAGGATAGTGCATGGAGAGACTCAAGATATCACAGCTGAGATGCAGCATTAGCTGCTGAAGAGGCTGAGAGGCAGAACTCACATACATGAATTGATCTTCTTTGAGAAAACTTAACAAAGTTCCATTACAATTGAATTTAGGACTCTTCTGTGCTTAGTTCATTGTAAAATATCAGCAGAAAAGAAACTCCTGATGTACATTCTGCTTGCTAATTGTGGTATAAGGCTTGTATATTCGGCTAGGCAGATAGTGCATGTCCTACTGCAAAAGTAGTCATATACGAGGCCTCATGCTATCTGACTATGAATGATAGACTTATGTCTTGACATTTCTTCCACATACAAATCAAGGAACTTCACGAGGTCATGTTACTATCTGAGCTCGTCTATATATTTGAGAGTTAAAACTTGCATTTTATTTAGGAAACTGTTGTGAGTAAATTGTATAGCATTTCTACTTTTCAGTAGGAAGACTTTATTTCTTAGTTGCAATTAAATTAATACAAAATAGCTCTTCCAAATTGTAAGGATGTTATATTTGAGTTAATTTTTCCTTATTCTAATGTAAATTTTATTAAGTTCTGAAATAATATATTTTCCTAAATTATTTGGTATCCCTTATACATCTTTGCCTTGTGTGGGGTGATCCCTCTGTTTTTCCTTAGATGTACACAGAAATAAACAGAAAATTATTAGAGAGCCTCCCAGAGTATCTGTAATTTTTCACTGGAACCTGAGTGAACTTAGTTATGTAATAAAGTACCAGGTGTGACTCCGTTTATTTCAACTTGAAATGATACATAATTTTTAATGAAATACTATTCTATTGCTTTATGTATGTGTCTTTTAAAATGATGTGTGCACATGCAATCTGATCTTATTCTTTGATTTAAGGGAAGACATATTTTGCGAACAGGGTATTTTTACACATTGAAATTAAATCATAATATATACCAACACTGGAAGAAAGGAAGATTTTTTGAGACTTTAGGAGGTAAAAATTTCACTGTCATTTTTGACCTATTTAATAAGCCAAGTTTACTCATTGATTCACTTTTGTGAGAATCATAGGTGCCTGTGAGACCAAAGTCTTACAAATGTAAGTATTTGGGACATAAATAATAATGATAATGTCTTCATTTGGATAATGTATAAATTGTGCATATGAGGAATTAAATGGATTATTTACTTCCTCTATTAGTTACAGTTCCCTGAAAAAACCCTGAAGGCTGAATTTTATTATTGAGATAGTAAAGTTCTGCCCTGCTCCTTGCTTGTTCCTGAAAAAAAAAAAAAAATTGTTTTTTTTTAACTTACTGCCAATACCAATTCATATTGAGCCTATAGAAACATTTCTGGCAAAATGAATGAAAAGAATGCTATTTTGTCATAACGTAAACATTTGATACAATTATCTTTTGTGAAAACACGGAAGTTTTTTTGGGTTTTTTTCTGCTTAAGTAGAGAACACAATTCAAAACTCAAAGTTTGTTGCACAAAAGAAGAACCAACCCTGCTCAGCAGCCTCTGCTGTTGTGCTTTCTGTTTGTCATTTTTCTTAGACCATTCACTGCCCATTTTGGGTTGAGGAGGGATGAAGAGAAAATGGGGCTTTTTCTACCAACATATAAAAATTGTCTGGTGCCCTCCTAGCATTTACTCTTCAGGCATTGAGATTTCATTGCAGAATTACTGCTTCCAGAGGAAGAATAATAAAGATTTTTTTTTTCCTTTTAATATTGATTTAGTAAAATCAGAAGGAGAAATCAGCTGCCTTGAGTTCAGGAGGCTGGAAGAACTAGTCTTAAAATTTTTATATTCTTCCAGGGTTTAAAAAAGCTGTTTAATGGAAACTATGTGTAGGGCAGAGTGGGGTTTGTTTCTGTTTCTGGAAGAAAAGTTTGAGAGAAGTCACATGGAGAATTTGCTAGTTAGGCTGTTGGAAATCATGATATAGTCTGTATTATGAATACTGCCTGTAGCAGAATCTCAGAATGACATATTGAATCATAAAAGATATAGTAGAGCCCATGTCTGTCTGTGAAAAGACAGCTTGGAAGAAAACTTTTTAATAGAAAATAATTTCTTTGCATTTTGAGCCTTAAATCCAACCATTTCATCTTGCTGAATGCCTTAAAAACTCTATCAGCTAATCTTCCCACTTCTTTCAGCTGTTTTGAACTTTTCTCTTGCCCTTGGGGCTGCTTGCAAGAACTTTCTGAACCAAAACTTTTTCTGGCTTTTAGTTCTTAAAAATCATCTAGAGTTGCTGTGACAGTGTTTGGGCTTTTTTAGTTAATCTGAAAAGTATCTTCATATTAAGTCACAGTTTTTTGGATAAAAGTAATCTCAAATCCCTGGATCCAAATTAGAAAATGTGAAATTTGGGTGTAAATTTGTCGTGGCTTAACATAATTTGGTTTTTAGTTAAGGAAAAAGAAAAATTCACCAGCTATGGAGGTAATTCCCTGTGAGGTTCCTTTGGACCCAACAGAACCAATCAGCTGGCTAGTTTTGAATATCGACCCCCTGTTAAACCACTTAAGAGAGCTGAACACGCCTCTGTGAAATCACATTTAAAAATGAACAGAGCCTGGGAAAGCTCTCTTGCTTCCAGCTTTTGGACAGGTAAGTGGGAGCCTGCTTGACCCAGCAGGGCTGGGCTGGGTCCTGCTCCAGAAACCATTTCCATGCAGAAAGAGCCCTGTGGCTGGAATTGACCATGGCAGGGGCTGGAAAACAGCCATGGAGCCAGAGCAGCCACTGCCTGGCAGAGATCACATGGCCATCCACAGGCCCAGGTGAGATTTTAACTCTGTCAGTGCACAGATGAAACTTGCAGACATCAATCGTCTCTCAAGAGAGTGAAAAAGGGTGAAGACACATAATGTAAAAAACATGGAGACATCAAGGTCAATGAAGGAGGAGTCAAATCCCAGATGTGAGGAGAATGAGGTGATGTCTTCGTCTTGGGCTGAAATTCTCTTGTAAGGCTATGGTGAAGATACAATTGATACATCAGACTCTTTGTCCCTGTAACTCATGGAATGCACTGGGGGGATGTAGCGTTCTAACCACAGCCATGAGCAGAGGCACCCATGCTGAAGTAAGAAAATGCTGAAGTAGCTGTGATCCAATAAAAAGCTTGAACAGAGAGAGATAAGAGACATGAGAAAAATGAGAAAAGAAAACCTCTGTTCCCAGAAATAAAAGAAGAGAACTTTTGTTTCTATTCTAGAACAGCTCATCCTTAAAATTTCACCCAATAAGCTGAAATGACCCATGGTTGCAGTTGTGGGAAGACTACCAAACTGTGGGAGGAACATGACCATTGCAGATTTCTGAGCAAATGCTATTAATGAAAATTAAAACCACAAGAGAACTGTTTCTTGTGGAAAAGTCTCTATGGCATGGCCGGAGAGACTCCTATCCCTAAGTAAACTGAAGAAAAATTATTTTAGAAGTGGTAAACTGACTGAAAATACAAAATTTTTTTCTCTATGTTGTCAGTGGGAAAAGAAAGAGGAGTTGGGGGGAGGAGAAGTGTTCTGAAGGTTTATTCTGATTTCTTACTATTTTTCTTTTAGTTCTATTAATAGAGTTCTCTTTATACCTTTTAAAGTTTTAATCCTGCTTTGCTCTCCTCCTAATCCTTATCTCCCAGCAGATAATGAGTAAATAATTCTAGTAGGTGCACTGGCATTTGGCCAGCACTAAACCCACTACAAAACTCTAAGATTTGGACCTGTATTTATACAATATACCTGACCGAGCTGAAAGCTAAGTTATATATAATGTATGTAGTGTATAGTATAGAAAAATATCCAGGTCCTGTGCTTGGGTCACAACAAACCCGTGCAGCACTACAGACTTAGGACAGGGTAGTTGGAAAATTGCCTGTCAGAAAATGACTTGAGGGTGCTGCTTGACACCAACTGGATATGTGGTAACATGTGCCCAGGTTTCCAAGAAGGCCAGTGGCATCCTGGCCTATGTCAGCAATAGTGTGGCCAGCAGGACCAAGGCAGTGACTGTACCCCTGTACTTGGCACTGATGAGGATGCACCTTGAATCTGGTATTCAGTTCTGGGTGCATCACTACGAGAAAGACATTGAAGTTCTGTAGGCTCTCCAGAGAAGGGTAATGGAGCTGGTGAAGTGTCTGGAGCACAAGTTTTATGAGGAGTGCTTGAAGGAGCTTGAGGTTGTTTAGCCTGGAGAAAGGAGCTTCAGGAAAGACCTTATTGCTCTCTACAACTGAGTGAAAGGAGGCTGTAGACAGGTGGGAGTCTGTGTCTTCTCCCCGATATCAAGTGACAGAACAAGAGGAAATTGTGTCAAGTTGCTCCATGGGAATTTTAAAATGGATATTAGGAAAAATTTCTTCATATAACAGGTTATCAGGCATTGGAACAAGTTGCTCAGGGAAGTGGTTGAGTTGCTGTTCCCAGAGGTAATTTTAAAAAGTGTAGATATGGTACTTACGGATATGGTTTAGTGTTGGACTTGGCAGTAGTAGGTTAATGGTTGGTCTTGAGGCTCTTATAGGTCTTATTCAAGCTAAATGTATTCTATGATTCTGTAAAGACTAAAAGAAATTTCTTCGGTAAAGAAATTCCTTCTTTCAGTGTATGCTCCCCATTCCTCTTCTAAAAGGCCTTTCAGATGAAAAGAAGTAAGTTGTGTTATATTAAGCAGACAATGCTGCAGGGCTGCTCACCAAGTTCTTTTTTTCTGTATTAGTATGACCATGGAGATGGGTATTTGCTACAGAGAAGACTAGCCTGGATACTAATTGTGTACAAGACAAAAATAAAATGGCCCTTGATTCAAGATTAGGTTGTTCAGCCAACAACGTTTCAGAAACATTGGCTGGCTTCAAAGTTAGCTGCAGAAACTGGTTATGGGCTATAAGGCCAAAACTCACTTGATGAGACCTCTAAAAGAGCTTACAGTTGTTTATGTACTCTGAGTTAGACCCACAAAAGAAATACTTACAAGATATTCTCAAGAAGTCAAAAGAACAAGAAAAGAAAAGAAAATCAGCCACTGCCAGGCTGGGATACAGGCTCTAGGGGTGGGTGTAGAGGGCAGATAGCTGCCTCACCAGGGCAAGGCCCAACCTGCCCCTTCCCCCACACATGCATCCCAAAATATCTTAAGATATCAGTCTTTCCAGTTTCACATATGGGCTCACACTTATGGGACATTTATATTTTCCAGTCCATTTTTGATCAGATTCTTTCTTGGTGAGTGGAATGAGGACAGAAGAAAGGGAATCTGGCATTTATATTGATGCTTGGATTGGAAAAACTCCTATGAGTGGAGTGTGTTCAGCCTGTTACTTTAATTGCCAGTCAGTTATGCTATGCTTGTTTGTCAGACAATTTTTTTTGCAATACTTATAAAGTACTATTTTATCCTGTTGTAAAATATGTTTTGCATAAGTGAAGCAAGGAACTCAATAGATGAAGTCTATATGAAAACCATGTCAAGACGAAGCACTCCACAATAACAAGCTGGGGCTGTGCTGCCACTAATTTGAAAAAAAAGAGACACATGCAGGCTTTGAAAGGTTTTAGCAAATATCAGTACTCTGGTGGGATGAAAGATGACAGAGGACGTTTTGGGTCACTACTGTAATTTACTGTAATGTAAAATCAATATTGTTTGCCCAGTGAGAGGCAGCATTGTGCTTTTTGTTCCTTTTTGACGTAAGTCTAAGAGACAGAATAGTATCAGTTCGCCCTCTTCAGTTTTACAGATTTTCAAGTCTTAATTTCATTCCTCAGTGTCTCTCTCATAATGCTAAACACAAAATGCATTTTGCATTTCCTCTCCATGCTTGTACTCTGTTTTCTTCCTGTAGATTACAAACTGGCAAGGATGTCACTGTTGTGAGGCTGTGCTACTGAACACTTATGGCCACATATGGAGTGCTGTGTCCAGTTCTGGGCTCTTCAGGGCAAGACAGACACTGATATCCTGGAGCAAGTCCAGAGGAAGTCAGTGAAGAATATGAGGCCATGGAACATCTCATTTATGAGGAAAGGCTGAAGGAGCTGGGCCTGTTTAGCTTGGAGGATAGATGACTAAGAGGGAACCTTATCAATATCTGTAAGTATTTGAAATATTTGAAGGGAGGGTGTCAAGAGGATGGAACCAGACAGTTCTCAGTGGTGCTGAGAAGGGTGAGAGACAATGGGCAGAAACTGATGCACAGGAAGTTTTATCTGAACATGAGGAAGAACTTCTTTACTGTGAGGGTGGCTGTGCACTGGAACAGGTTGCCCAAGAGAGATTGTAGAGTCTACTTCCCTGAGGATATTCAAAAACCATCTGGACACAATCCTGAGTATCATGCTCTAGGGGACCCTACCTGAGCAGGGAAGTTGGACTAGATGACCTACTGTGATTCCTTCCTACCTTACCCATTCTGTGATTCTTTAATCATGACTCTGACAGCGATTAAACAGTCTGTTTCAGCTGTGGACTTATAGGATATATTTTTTTAAAGCACAACTCTAAGCACATATAAGATGCATGTACATGGACAGCCAAAGGACAACTTTCATTTTGGGAAATCCAATAATTGGATAATTGTTAAGAATGTATTTTCAATGTACACATTGTCTTCAGAACAGAAAGTGGGCAGCCATACTAGTTAGGCCCTTTCTAGCATCTGCCTAATATTTGGCAGGCTCACTAAAGTGAATGTTGCTTTGACAGACTTGATGTTTCAGAGTTCATGTGCTGATGGAAAGAAATAGCACCGATTACCGTCTACCAGATACCTGTTGCAAATGAGCCAAATGAGTCAGCTCTCTAGTCAGAAAAATCTAGACAACAAAATGCAGCTAGAAGACTTCTAACCCCTGCCCCCTCGTTCTGGATCTAGGAGTAGGATTATGTGATGAAGCCGTTTTGTTTTCCTAGTAAATGCCAGCCTTTCATGGCTAACTGGCCTGGCCTCTTGGTGCAATGTGTTATTGTTCTGTCTCAAATGAAAGCATGCTGGGTGGAATTAGGAATATGGGGCTAACTGCCAAGGAAAACATTTCTGTGGCCTAAAAACCTGCCACCACTCAGCACCTGTCTGGGCATGAATTGAACATTGTAGCACTTGATCCACAGCAGTCAGACTGAGAGATGTGTGAAATTTTTAGCTGTGTTATTCTCAGTACTTAAACACCCTCCAGGGGAAAAAACCATACAAAGCACATTAGCTTAACCCCTTTTGTGGGAAAGTAGGCAGCCAAAAGTGAGGCTTGCTCACTTACTTTGCTACCTCTTATTTGTGGAAAATAGGTAGAAATAAAACACTTGCAAATCAATGCAAATTTCTGTTAGGTTAGAGGCACTAGAAGATGATGGAAACTGGGGAAATAGGGAAAAAATGGGGGAGAGAGAGAGGTAGACTTCAGCCTAGAAGTGCACATTATATTCAGTTCTGGATAATACTTCAGTCAGCATTTACTTTTTACAAAGAAATCCTATTTGTAACTGCTCAGCTGCGGTAATTTGTGACAGAAGAATGATTTTGCATAGAGGGAGGGCAAAGGAGGCCTGGTTGCAAGGAGTTAAAGTGGCTGAAAGTAGGAATGCCAGAGACATAACAGACTCCTTGCAAGAGAGTGAAGTTGTCCTCCATGAATTGTCTTGTAGACCATCCTGGCATCTGAGCATTCAGGGTCCAAGCCAACGTTCACTTTCAGGCAACAGAATTTGGGTGGGGGATGAATCCAGGGCTGGGCTGACTTGTCTCATGCAACTGCACTCTGGATTGGTGCTGATGCCAACGTGTATAGGAAATATACTCGTGACACATCTTTGCAGACTCTGTGTTGAACTGCGTATTGCAGCAGGACTCTGCTCATGCAATGTTCATTAACATTTTATATTTCAGCACAAATGTGTAATTTTCTTCAAGGGGTACCATTAAATTTCCCCAACAGTTCCCTTCCCTATTTTGATTCTTTCTGGTACAGTTACTCAGCATTAAACATGAAACAAATAGTAAATAATATACAGGAAAATTCTGGAGTTGCAGACAGTGTAGTTTCACTTGTCTGATCATAATTTAAGATTCTTAATGGACCTGAAACTATCTACAGGTGTCAGCCATTCCCCATTAAAGTCTGTTTGAGAATTGCTTTAAAGAAAACAGTTAAGTAAAATAGCAAAGAGATTCTGTAAGTGCTAAAAATGGGTAAATTGCTTGCATTGCACATGAACTCTCATCCTTGCTCTTACCTCAAACATGATCTGAACTCTGAAACTTTAAAACTCAATTTAACTAACCGATATGTATACACATTCCTTCATAATTTTTATTTTCACTTCTTAAATTACTCTAAAAGCAGAACACAAGAAATAGAGAACATTTTTCTGTATCTGTAGCAGCCCAAGGCAGGATAGAAAAGAAATATGCAAGAGCCTCATAAATTTTGAGATTAAATTGTACATTCATGAAAGATATCTGGTTAGTTGTGCAACTTCAAAACTCAGTCTTCATATATTTAGGTCATATATGAGTCTGAATTTTAAAAACTAAACTTTTTATGAGTTTTCAGTAAACTTGTGAGCCTCATCATTGCGGCTTAAGCTTCGCAACCCAATAGAACCTTCCATCTGTCTCAAGTTAGACACAAGCTTTCACTTTGCTTTGGAGAAGCATTGACTGTTATTTAGCTGTTCATAGACTTAACATAATTAGCCTCTACAGGAAAAATATAGACTCTATGAAAGCATTTCCCCTTGCCTTATTTTTGTGTAGTTGCATTATTTGGAAGAGACTTTCTTGTTCTTTTCTACCTACATGGTTTTCTGGTAAGTGAAATGAAGAAAAATTAACAGATATCAGATGAGTTAAAAATTGTAAGTATCTATTCTGTTTTCCTGCACATTACCATCATCCAAGATTAAGTCCATATTTACAGGTATTTTCTTTCTCATGTAAGAGATTAGTATATCTAAAAATTATAATTTTTGCCGTTCATCTCAGCTACAGAAATACCAAAACCCAAGGGAATAATTTCAATACAGTCAAGAAATTTGCCTTGTGATATTGTCTTGGTTTGAGACAATTAAAGGAGAATACTCTGGAATGAGGTTGTTTCCCTTTAAGGGTTCCACCAATCCCTGTCCACTAACAAGGAGCGAATACTAATAAATGAAAGTGGAAAAAATAGTGGTCTATTAATAAACAGAACACCAACAGGTAGGGGGAAAAGTGAATAACTGCTAGATATGAAACTGCTAAATCCCACAACCACACTGGAACAAAAGAGACCTGAAATAACAGAAATACCTGTTCCAAATAGGAGGCCTGGCAGGATGCCTTGGGTTGGTAGGACAAAGGGACAAGGTGGTGTCAGATCCTTCGTGGGAAGGAAGAAGCCTCATAGAGCAGTTCCAGCAGCAGATGAATGCCTGATGGCTCATCTGGAGTCAACCTCCTCCCTACAGCAAGGCAGAGCAGGGCAGGCAGGGTCAGGTGGAGCAGGTGAGCTGGGGACACTTGTGTCTTGTCTCAGCTGGCACTGCTGGCAGTGACTGACTGGGGCCAGAGTGGGGCTGCTCCACTCCACTACTGCCAGTACAATGCTCATGGTTTTGGACAGGTAGCTGTGGAATTTGCCCTTAAGGCAGCTCAAACACTGTTAAGGCTGTCAGAGCCAAGGGAAAAGGGAAAAAGACCCCTTAAAAAACTGAAAAGAGAACCTAAAAACAAAAGAAAAGACTTTGCCTGAACAAAGACTAAGCAGCCAGCAAAGCAAATACTATGCCACGAAGAAGAACTGCAAAAGTCCTGGGAAGAGAGATTTTAAAAATGCCCAGGGATAGTAAGCCCCCAGTGCTGCAGGGTCCTAAAGATACAGCAATAATTTCTGTATGCAGACAAATATGGAATACAATAACATTATGAATCACCCCAGGACAGATATCCAGAACCTTTGCATCAAAACTGCACAATGGTAAGAACAAGCTGCTGACACAGCTCATACTTAAGATGCAGTTGTTTCTGTGTCCTGTGCTCTTATTGAAGCTTTACGTGAGGGCTTGATGAGACAACTAACAATGAATAAGCTTCAATAATTGAGTTTGGATAAGTTTTAGCATACTTACCCAAAGCTTATCACGGGTCTCAAAACTTTTGTTGGAAAGGGGACATAAACTCTCAGGATTTCTGAGGCTTTGTCCGTCTACTCTTAGTGGAAATATTATGTGAAGAGCTTTATAAATAATCCATAAAATTAATAGATGTTAATGTGTAGAAGATATTAAATTCTCCTCTTAGACAAGCTTTTTGAATTTTCTAGGTTTCTGTGTACTTAAGTTTGCCAGCATGGTTATACTTCCTTTACTCATCCATAGTAATGTTGATTTCTGATGAGAAAATGTTGTTGGGGTTGTGTTTTTGTTTTTGTTTTGTTGTTTTGTTTGTTTTTTTTTCTTGGTTGGTTTTTTTTTTGTTTGTTTGTTTGTTTGGTTTTTGGTTTGGTTTTTAAAAATTATTATTATTAAATGGATAAATTATTAGTAACCTATAGTATATTACATTATTTACAGGTAATTGGCAACTAGAATATTACATTCACAGTATTTCTCTGGAAAACTTACCTCCCTTCCCTCATGAAGACCATAGGAAAAAATTTTGAAAATTGCAAATAAGTTCTCTACAGCTGACTCAGAAACTTGACTGCTTGTCTTGGTTTGAAAGACAGGTGCCTGCTAAGGAAGGCAGGAGCCTCCTTTGGAATAGGAAATATGACCCCCTTCCCTCTAATTTATTATAATTTTGAAATTAAGGGACTTTCAGGCAAAGATATGGGAAAAGAAATAACAGTTGTTAGTAGTATGTGTATATATAACAAGGCAAACAAGCAAACAACCCCAGCTGCAGCATTAACCACAGCCAGCAGGCCCCAGAGGCAGTGCCAGCCTTCTCGGGGCTGTGGGGCACTTTCCCCTTTGGAGCAGTTCCGGTCACAGCCGCCAGGGGCGCCGGTGGCTCCCGGCCGGGCAGGGCGGGTGCGATGATTCCCCCGCGCCTGCAGGGGGCGCTGTGGCCCTGGCTCAGGGGCAATGCAGTAATGGCGGCCGAGATGGAGAGAGATGGAAAAAGAGCCTGCTTTACAAACCCTCCAGAGACAGCTGATCCTGGTGCTCCAGCAGGACTCTTGGAAGCAGCAAGCTGGAAGGTCAGGACCTCCTGGCAGGCAGGAGCTGTGCCTTTGTGTTTTCCACAGAGCACAAAGTGTAGCACAAACCCAGAGCAATGGCAGACGTACAGTGGGGGTTGGGCAGTAGCAGTCCAGCTCCTGAACACAATAAAAGGCTCCTTGGGCTTTTTTCACTGCCTGAGAAAAGCTGGTTCTTTGGATCCTGGCTGTGCACAGGGTTGGGGCAGCTCCCCTGGCAGGGCCTGCACTGGCTCGGGGCTTCCCAACAGCAGAGCAGCAAAAGCAGCCCAGCTGGCAAGTTCAGTCACAGTGCCAAACCAAAATAAAACCAAAAAGAAGCAGGCAAAACCCACAGAAACAGCAGTGTTCAGTCAATCCCAGCCTGGGATTGTTCCTTCTTAGCTTCAAGATTTTAAAACAGAATATGACTGTAATCTTCCACAATGCTGGCGTCAAAGGAAAAATAAAAATGGTAAACTGTGAGAGCCAATTTAATTTTGATTTCTGTCTCAACACTGTTTGTCAGATGGGGGAAGGGAGTGCACAGGTGCCACTTGCAGGAGTCAACCAGGAGAAGATGGGAGACAGCCTTGTCTCTGGGGAGCCTTTGCCTGGCAATCATTTCATGTCTCACATGGGGCAGGCAGCAGCAGGGGAGCACCAAGGACACTGCACTCTCCAGAGAGTTCTCCCATCTGATGGGGGAAGGTCTCCACCAGTGGACTGCAGTGGAAGGCTGCACTGGGCCAATGGTCTCCTGCCAGCAGGCAGACTTTGGGAGCAGCCAGGGAATATAAAATTAACTGCATCACAAGCTTTTGGTCTCTCTTTTTTTTGCCTTGGCTCAGCCTGCTTTTTGGCTCTTTTGTCCTCATTTTTGCCCTTGCTGGCCCTTGCTTCATTGCATTGCTTTATTGCAGGGTGTTGCAGATAAATGGGTTTCAGGCTAATTGTATTAAGAAAAGATCTTGTTAATTGAGAGAAGTACAAATCATTTGTACATTTGTTGTTTCGGGGCTCACAATGCTGAAATTGGAGTGCTTCTCTGAAAAAGGGATGTGTTAGAATTCCCTGATACACTTTTTGTGTTAGGTTTAGATTGCAGTAATTATGACAGATAGAAAAACCTAGGCTGTAAAGAAAGCATTCAGATCCCAAAAGAAATTTCAAAATACAGTGTTTTATATGCAGAAATGATTACTGAGTTGCTCAGCATACTGAAAACAACAATTTGTTAGCTTTGAAAAATAGTCTACTGAGACTGACCACAATGCAAAATGCACATCTTTATAACATGTTAAAATGTTTAAATCATCATCTGGAAGGATCATTTAGTTCTTTTGGTACAGTTAATAGAGAAGCTTATTTTAGGGGTGAAGGACCAGTCGTATGAAAACTGCCAAAGACCATAGTGAGAATAACTAGACTTGAACTGTACAATTTGGAGCAATCAATAGAAGAGGAAGTGTGAACGATGTGCAAGAGTAGCCACAAGTCCTGTAGAAACCATGATCAAGAAACTGGCTCTTAAGAGTATGGGAATAAATCCAGACAACACACTGAACTTCAGCTTGTGATCTCATCATATGCAAATGATTCATCTTAGCCTAATTCTATTTTTAAAGTCACATTGGATGATTCTTAACAGATCTCACAGAAAGAGCTCATGTTGGGTCTGGGGATTTACTCAGTGGTATCTGGGAGCTGCAGATGTTCTGCCTTCTGTATTGAGGCTTTTTTAGTTGGTTAAAGTACAACCCTAGAAAGATTCTGCATTGAAGCCAGCAGTCTTTGGAGAAACTCACATTCTGTCATAGCAGACTATGCTTGATGGAATTGTCAGGTTTGTGGTTGATGGATAGCCCTACAGTATCAAATTCCTATAAAATAGATAAGTATTGACTCAGGTGCTCAGCTGGTTAAAAGGATGTTGGCTTGAATTACGTGTTTTCACTTCAGCTAGGAATGGACCTTAACTTTTCCAAAGATACTCCTCAGACAGTTCAATTTGTCATTATGTGAAACTGTCTGCAGTGGAGAATTCTGACCTCTCTCAAACCTTCTGTCCTAGTTTTGTTAGTTGATACCACTTCATGTCGTTGTCAGAGGTGGTAGAAAGGGACTGTCTTTGGCTTCTGAGAAGAAAGGCATGGCTTTCAGCAGTAAAAACATGGCAGCATGATCTGCCATTTTTTCATTGTCTTGGTCCATGGTGAGCATTTTTGTATGTGAATCACCCCCACTTTTCTACACTTTTGGTTTTAATACTATCACTGTTACTGTTCGTTGTCTTATCTCATTGCTGTTTCCAGTAAATTGTTCTTATTTCCCCCAATGATCTCTGCTGTTTGTGCCTTCCATTGGAGTTGGGGGAGGGGACCAGCTTGTGGTCTTTTTAGTGGGAGTATTAAGTTGGGGAACACCATTCCTAAATCACACAGCCTAAATTGGTGCTCAATGTAAGGCACAAAAAGTTGAAATAATAATAGATTTTCCCAGAGCGGACTGGAAAAAAAAATTGATCTAAGTATTTGTGTGTTAGGTACAGAGCCACTGGTCAGAAAAGTTGCTTGGTCTGTTCATGTGGGTGTGGTACCTAACCCTGTATGTTTATATTCCTGTCTGTACTCTTTGTGATGAAATTTTTCGGAGTAGGAGGAAATTCAAGACCAAATCAGTTTGCTTAGTGAGGGATGAAGAGGGAGCAGGGCCCTCACAACAGGAGGAAGAGGCAGGGCCAGAGATAATCAACTGATTCCTGCTCCTGGGTGAGCAGTGAGATATGCAAAAAGATTACAGCCACCAGCCAGGTGAGTCCCTGGTGATCTGACTGCTCTGATGCTGGGATATTGTGGCCCACAATATGAAACTTGGTTGTAGTGAAGCCAGGCAACTGGGATTCCTTTCTGGGGATGTGGGCATTGACAGAGGTATTGGGAAGAGGACAGAAAGTCTCAGCCTCTGAAGGCTAATGGGAGTACTAAATTAGGGAATATAATTTGTAAACCACAACTCTATCCTTACTGGTTTTTGTTGGTTTCTCTTTTTTTGGCTTTTTTCTTATTACTTTTCTGCTTCTGTTTGATATTTTAAAGATCATGTGTCTCCCTGCTTTGTTTAAATTTCTCTAAATTTCACAATATGTGAAGTAGCTTAGGCTGAGAAATGGAAGAGGGATGTAATAGTTCCACAAATGTTACCTCAGTATATCACTCTTCCTTTCCTCATCTCTTTTTGTGTTGTTTTTCTTTAAATATATTCTTCTATTCTGTGGTCAGCTGAAAATGGAATTTGGGCTGATTTTTGAAATATCTAGAGGGGAAAATTTTACTTAAACACAAATAGTCATGAAGCAGATTTCGAATTATATAAGCAGATAAACATACCTTTAAGCCTGTAAATGTTGTTTCTATAAACTACATGATAAATATTTTTAGAGGTCAAAGTTCTGAAGAAAAAAACCTGTATTTTCCTTGGAATTTTATTTCTCTTCTTTACTCCCTCCTTCCCCAGATTTGTGGTTCTTTTTTCATAATGAGTCTACACATCTCTATTATTTCTGGAATTTTAAACATATTGTGGACTTTCAAAGGACAAACTAAAATTAACTTTACATAACCAAATCCTGTAGGTATTCCAATTTCAAACAGAAGTGAGGAGATTAATGAATTTCTCTAAAATTAGGGGATATATACTGATGACAGATAAATAGTGAACTGTCTTTGCTGATTTTTTTTCTGCAGAACATTAATTCTGCAGACATTTTAGAGTTAGAGAATAATTCAGGAGGTCTCTAGTCTACTTTACTTCTCAAAAAATCCAAGGAGAGAAGCTGCACAGATTTACTGGACAACCTGCTTACTGTGTAATTTTTGTTGTGATATAAAATTCTTCCTTGTTTCGTCTTGGAACTTCCCAATTCCATTTTTGATCAGTTCTTCTCATTCTCCCTCCAAACACCTTGAGAAAGAGCCCGGACCTGTCTCTTCAATGACCAACCTGAAGGTATTGAGGGACTGCCATCAAGTTCCCTGGAAGCTGTCTCTTCCCCAGGATGAAAAATCTCTGGTCCCTCAGCCTTTCCCCACACGGCAAGGGTGCCAGCCCCATCCCTCCTAGTAGTCCTCCACTGAGTTTGGCCCAATTTAATAACATCTTTCTCTGCAGAGGGGATCAAAAATTGGATGGAGTAGTCTGGATTCTAAGAAAAAGGTAAAAAATGTATCTCCCTCAATCTACCAGCTACATTACTGGATAGAGCCCAGCGTGCTGCTGGTCTTCTGTGCTGCCAGGGTATGCTGACAGTGAAATCCCACTTAGTTCTACAACGATGAATTAATGCTTAATGATTAATTTTGTACAAGTGATGTATTAATGTTCTAAGATCAGTAAAAAAAAGAAAATTAATACTGTTTCAGAAAATCCTATCACTTTTCCCCTGAAACCTAGCTTCCAAAGTAAGAAACAACCAGAGATCATACCATTTTCCTACAGTGGAAATCCTATGTAGGTATATATGTGTTTAGAATAAGTAGAAAAACAGAACCATTTTTGTTATTGATGGATCTTTGCTATATTGTCCATTTCTTCATATCTCCCTTCTATGAAGATATCAATTTATTTTACAGATTATCAGGAAATATAATAGAACTTCAGTGC